ATTTCGTGTAATAAAAACTAACAGAAAACTCTGCATATGAGTATAACCACACTACAAAGTTCACCGGACTTTCAAGTACCTAAGCTGAAGTTCCCGCAAAATTTACAGTCACAAATCAAATAATATGAAATCAGAAACGGTGGACGAATGCTTCATATGCTTTCGGATTTACTAGAAAGTGGGACCAATGAAGAAAGGAACTGCTCGCGCATCAATGCAAAGCCGAGTTTTGGATAGAGCCCATGACGAGGTATAAGCCAGATGCGAAAGCCGGTGGTCCAGAAAGTGCTAGAGCAAGGGGGATGCGTGAGGAGATTTGCAGTGGTCAGTAGCCTGGGCAAAAGCGAGCAGATTAAAGCCATAGATGAAGCCTGCTAGCTGCTGGCAGACATTTCATTCAAAATTGAGGAAATGATGATGGACGAGAGGCGAAGGAGGGAGGGGCGGGGGCGGAAGGAGGGGAGGGCACTCTCGTCGTCCAGGCCACTCGGGATGACCTTCAATGTCTCTTTCTCTGTGTTTAGCTGCTGCAAGCTAATTCTGCCCAAAAGACAAACGCTGCCTACAAAATTATTTGAAAAAAAAAAAACTTTTAAATGGCCTAATCTTAATTAGCCAATAAATGGCATCATCACCGGTTTCTGATGAGCTAGGGGCGATATGAATCCATGACGCACTTATCCATGCTAATTCACTGAGGAAACGGACCATAGTGCGGCTAATTTTCTAGCAGTAGCTTTGAACTAAGTAGGTGAATGATGCGACAGCAATAATTACCACGCCATTCGTAACAGTGCATTATCTGCAGTTCAAAACTACTTTTTTACAGATCTCGCACAATATGGGATTAAATTCTCGAACTTGCGCAATGTCCCCTTTGGTAGTTATAGGTCAGGAGCAGTAAGTTCTTTTACCACATCTTTCTTGTCGACCTTCGTCGAGCAATTTTCGTGTTTTTAAAAAAAAAAAAACAATCAAAATGTAGTTTTTTTCTTTTTTTTTTCTGAGCGAATGTATCGAGAACTTACCTTGAGCTAGCATGTCCAGTATCATCAGGCCATTGAAATTGACTCCCGAAATGAAACCATTATAAGTGTCATAAACACGTTCACGTTTGCGCCGCCTGGCTCGATGCAGCAAATTGAATGATGCTCCGACAGTCACTCGCCACTGCATATTCAGCGTTACAAGTTCCATTTCTCCGCCTGGCAACATCACACGTACGCACGTCATTTTATGCTTAACACGGAGCAAGACGCCATCGCTTGCACGTGATATGACATTACTTGGAAAGTAGTGGCGTTTGCGAGTCTTGATAGCAGGCCACAAATGTATTTCATCCTATACTTTCCGCTTAGACAGGGCAGTACTGTAAGCTTAGTTTGCATTTATGAGAGTATGTCTGTTTCAGCCAAATCCCTCAAGATGCAGGACATTTTACCTGTAATCTCAAACGAAAGTTTAGCCGCGTAATCAATTTGATAATGCGGAAAATAATCGCCGGCAGCCGATGTGAGAGAAACATTCAGATGCTAAAGAACCTGCTGATGTTTAACTTTTGCCAGAGTTTTTTAGAGGAAAAAGGTGGGAATTTTTATCAGGCCTAAGAACAAATCTGTTTTGTTTTGCTGTTCCAAAAATTCACGGACCGTTGGGATTTGCTTTTGAATGATGGCTTCGAACCAAAAAAGAATGTGATGGGCTTGAGAGTACAAGCGGCACTGCGAAACAACACCCTGCCCGATTTCATAACCAGCGAGCAATGCTGGTTTTTATTGCTAGAGGGAATTTTTTGAATATTAGAGGGAAATCCTGGGGCGGAAAATCACTTCTGAAATTTGCATCCTTTCAATGGAATGACGAAATCGCAAATGTAACTTAAACACAGAATCATTACTAGGAGGTGTATAACGTATCGGTTCGCGATTGTCAATGTAAAGCGTTAAGTTAGCTTCCCTCCTTTGTGCATAAACCGCGTGATGGACATCATCATTGAGCAGCGCATCCAGAAAACCAATGTCATGATCCCGGGATCCGAGATTGAACCGAACATGCAAGTGACCATTTTTCTGAATTTTCAATTCATTTCTCGTTTATGTATAATTTTTTTTGTACATTTATTCAAACGAATTCGCATTATATAAAGATGACATCTATTTTTATGTTTGTGTATGCTCGCTCGGATAGCTCAGCTCCAAAATGAAGCAGTTGGGAGAGAAAACAATGAAGACGCAAAAAATAGCGAGACTTCAAATTTATGCCTTACATACAACCAAGTTAATACCCCAGACCCCGTAAATTCTTGAAGTCTTTCTGAGATGACCAGTTCAGTGAACAGCGAGATAGCTTATTTGTTGTGAAATTCTCTGCATTTGAAATTTTTACCAGAAAAATGGTGAAAAAGTCGCCGTCTACATTGCAATGCACGCTTAGCAAAACAGCAGTCGCCTGACGAGTTCGAAAGCCAATAGCAATCTCATCGCGATTCGTTGACGGTCTCATCGACTGTGGATACTCAAAGTAAATTGCTGACGATGTTGAATCGAAGATGTACGTTGTGCCGGCTAGAAATAGTCTTTTATGTAAAAATTTATTTTAAAAATTTGAAATTGGCTTTTTTGTTGAAGTAGGCTATGCGGACAAAAAATGCAAACTTATAAAAGTCGTAA